CAACCGCTCCCCGTATGTCCACAATGCACGAGAAGGTTGGGAGCATGCGAGGTAAACGCCGTTCCCTCTAAAAACACGACGTGAAAGTCGAACATCCTGAACTTTAAGAAACAAGACCTAGAAAACGGCCTGGTTTTGGAGGTCTCCGGCAAAAGGTAGGTAGGTTGAAGGGAATCCGCACACCAGTGCGGGGGGAGAAAAAGTCGTCGAATATAAGGACAGTCGACAATCGACAAGAGGATCCGTCCTCTGGACAGAGAAGAATGGCAGTTGGTGAAGGTACATTATGAGCAGATCTGAACGGCGTTCAACGCTCGAGTCAGATCATCTGGTGAGAAAGGCATCAAGGTACCCTTTGGAGATATTGGCGGCGGTGGTGACACGGCACGAAGAATCGGTGAGGTGTACCGTATGGACTCCTTGATTTGGGCAATGGAATCCATTCGAATATGTTCAGAGTACAAAGTCATCGTCGAATCACTGTAGCTGCTCGATTCCACGGCTGTGGAAGACGACGACCCTGAAGATTCTTCCTGCCGACCCTGAGCGTATTCGTGGTGGGAGACAGTGGCGGAAGCTGATCGTTGGTCAGAACGTCGTTACGTGTATGCTTACGGATTGCACCAGCATGAATAGAGGGCACGTGTGGAGAGGAGAGAACAGCCACTTACAGTCAGGCAATCCCACCTCTGGGGGTGCTGTCCCGCGAATCTGGTCTGGAGCCATGCCTTCGTCCTCACTCTCGTCATGACGCGGGTTCAAGTGATCCGGTAATGTTGAACAGGGAGACAGTGGGGGGTCTAATGCGCGGGGACGCTCAGCCTGCGCAGCCTCGAATGACCAGGCGGCCAATCTCTTTTGGTGTTCAGGATCGAAGGGGCCGCGGAATTTGGAGGGCGGGATTTCACCGCGCTTGTAGTACTCGATCTTGATCCCATTGCCATTGCCATTGCCATTGCCATTGCCATTGCTATTTCCGTTGGATTTCGATCTAGAGTGGCTATTGGAATTTCGGTGGAACACCTTTCTGAACTTGTCTTTGAAGTTCATTGTGACAGAAGGGGTGAGAATTGGTAGAGTGAGTTGTGAGGGATAAGTGTGGTGAAGTCGTAGATAGTAGTAGTAGCTCTATCAGCGCCTCAATGCAGACCAGTCCCGGTGAGGGAACGGATGCGGGGGAGGGTGTGCAAGCACAGACGACGATCGACTGTAGTGAGAAACCTTTGTTTCATCGTTCGATTAGACGAGGCTAGATTGGGGGAGGAGAGGGACGCTCGAAGAGGAGGAGAAAAGTAATTGAGGGGAAGAGGGAGAGAAAGAGAGAGAGAGGAGAGAGGGAAAAGACGGAAGGAGGAGGAGAGATTATGGAGATGAGGATGGAGATGCGGGTACCTAGCAGTAGATACTATGGATTATGGAATAATAGGTACTAGACTAAGGCAAATTGAGTAAGGTAGTTACAGCTGGATAACGGGAATCGAGCACACTAATAAATATAGATTGATTGTGAGCATTAAATAGGTAATAATTACCATCAGACAAGGCGTAGATAAGCTGTGGAACCGCCTCAACACCAGAAGGCGTAACATCTCGGGACCTAATCCGGTGAAGGCAGGAGAAGGCCAGTCCGCGTTTCCGTAGATTACCAGAATTACCTACTAGAAAAGGTGGGGAGGCAAAACGAGGAGCACAGAGGAGGATATGCAATTGATTGTTATTTGTTCTCACAATCTTACCGCAGCTGGAAACTCCATGGGATTTCAATTTGGAGCGTTGAAATTGCGCATTTCTCAGTGGATGGGAAAAAAACAGCGAAACCCACTTGGCCAGAGAGCAAGTGGCTCTGTGCGTTTGATGGATTCTACGTACAAACGCCCCAAGCGACAGAATTGAATGCAGCTATGAGTAGATAAAAGTAGGTTTAAAAGACCAAAGCCTCTCAACCTTCTTGACAACCTTCATGATAACTAACCAAGGTAGACGGTGATAGAGATGCAACCTCAGCTTCCAGTCCTCTGATGAGATGAAAAAAATATTACTCCATTGGGCGTTTGGCGTACCGAAGCCGATGTCAATCCGATCACTTCCATGGGTGGCCAAAAGTCAAGCCTGCCGATTATCCTTATGCTCTCGCGCTGAGTTGACATCTTGAGAGTATTCTCCTCAACCAGTCAACCAGTCCTGGACCAAGGGTAACTTCTCGAGTTAATTCATGGTAAACTATGGCCTCTCCCGCCAAGCATTCCAGTGTTCTTCTCTGCCCGGAGGTAAGAGGTAACATTAGTATGTGACCTTGCAACCATCCAAGTGCCAGAGTGGTGGCAAAAGCATCTTCTGATTATTATCTGCAAATATGTATTATACAGGGTAGATACTCGATAGTGATACGTATTGTCATAGAAAATACACATGATGATAGCAGTACGGAGTAGGCAATACTCCACGGGCTCCAAGTCCATCAGGGTCGAGGTAATATTCCGGCGCACTTGTGGCCGCCGGTCCTGCACCGAACAATTCCAGAAATACGGCCAAGACAGCCGGTCTGAGAGCCACCACCAACCAACCTGGCGACTTAATCTAAGGAACCTGATTGTCACCGGGATCAAAATGCGACATACATCATCACTTGCTGTACTCCGTACTGGACTCTGTACATTTGTTCTGGATTCAGAAACCCCAGACGTGTGGCATGGTGACTCGCGCGTACGACGTCAGGCCGCGGGTTTACTCGCTGTCCGAGTAGAAAGAGGGGCAAGGGGTTTCGTCCAGGATAATCCCTTCACACCATCGACTACCTAGGTATGTATCGCCTATACAGGCGTAACGTACTCTGTAGCTCCGTGATTGCCGGGGCTTGTGTCGGCCGTGCCGTCATAGCAGGTGGTGGTGACTTAGAACCGGCGAATCAGTTAGATGGGAGGTGAGACTGGGAGGGCAATGTGCTCCACCGGAGTTGAGGTTGAGCGATTTCATGCCTGCCCGAGTGCCCCACTCGGCACACTGTTTCCGGTTACCTGTTCTACACATTTATATAAAAAGATAGAGGATCATTTTTTCAACAGCAAGGCCTGCTGGCCCAATGGTAAGGCGCTTGACTACGGATCAAGAGATTGCAGGTTCGAATCCTGCGTAGGTCATTCTTTTTTACTGCCCTGAGCTTTTTCTCTCCACTGTCAGCATGAGGCCCTTGAGGCCCGAACTATGCAAAGCTTATTATGGCAAGGCAGAAGCAAACAGCAAATACTTAATGGAGAGTATTGGGCATCACAGACCTGTTGAGACAGCAATGCATGATGTCAACCCAGATGCACTTACATGCGGAGTACAGTACGGCATGTTGCCTTTCTAGAAGTCTCCGAAACCCCTCATAATTGCTTCTTCAGTTTTGTGTGCCTTGTTTCGGGCATTCACACATGAGATGGCAGAGCAAATGCTGTTCTTTGCCGGCATGAGGGAATTGCGTTGATGGGATGATTTTTATAGAAGGGCTTTTTTTCTCGAGTCTACCCTCGCATCTATCCCTTTATATGATGTTGACCATGTGGTCAAGCATGACTTTGATGACAGGATAGTTTATTCACTATGTATTCGAATTTCAGATTGACATGGATGATTTCTGTATTTGTTGTTATCGCCAGCGCGACTGTATATATATCCCTGCACTCATGCCTACCGTATGTCTCTAGGTGTATCTCGGGACAAGTCATATTTAGTCAGGTCCCCAGAGTTGCCACGAGGAGAAAGTCCGAAAGCATACTCACTCATTAATGTTAGAGGTCAGAAGAAGATTACTTGTCAAATATGTTACGACCCCGGAAGCAGCCAGTGGCTGGCACATCACTCTCCAGATTGTGTTAAATTCAGTTTAAGACATTGATTCTTTTCACAGGAGAAATGTAAGCTGACATGCACTCATAAGCATTGACTGGTTATTTCAACTTCTACCTATATAGCAGTCAAGCATATCATGTCCATGTTGGTACTCTCTCTCAATGAACACAACCATACCCATCCGAAACAGGCAGTTGATCAGGCTTATCGGAAGGCCGGAATAACCCTGATCCGCTGCTAGGGCTGGACCGAAACCGCCCTAAACCCCTTGAGCTGCTGCAGGCACACGATCTCGATCGCCGGAAACAGCTTGGCTGTCGTCGTCTGGAAGCTCTTCTTGCTCAAGATGTACTCCATCCCTCATACTCGTAGTCCAGTTGACTCAGCCATGATCCACGGAATCAGAAAGAGGGACAATGACATTGTTCTGCTCACAATAATCGGCACGCAATTGACTAAGCTGTTTCTATATTAATCTTGAATATTTCAAATGCGTCACCAGCAGGGAGAGCTGTTTCGGGTCCAGACTGAACCGTGGCTGAGACCAGCCATCCCCTCGCTGATACGGTAGCCAGAGTAGCAAGATTATGATCGTTACTGCAAGGACCTATCACCCAAGGATATAGAATAGCATTAACTGTACTCCGTGCCGCGAAAGTCCTCGGCCCATAGGTAATGTGTGCTTGCGACGCAGCTCATGTGACTGATGCCTTTGGACTTATCTCCCAGCGCACTGAAATCTGATCCAGTACACCGTCTCTGCTACTAGTACTTCAATTATCCGACCCTGATATTGATACGTCTAACCCTTGACGTGGCTATCGTAATTCTGGGTGAGTAACCACTGCAATGCGCGACTGCCATCAACCCCCCCGGATTAACGTTTCCCGATGTCGATTAGACATCCCGAAGAGAAACCAAACATACCAGATTGCCGTCGTCTTTCTAACTGCTTTCAACAACTCCCTTCCCTCAGTTCGATATTTCAGCTGAGGTTCGCGCCACCTATTTTCATCTCTTACTGCGCTGCACAAGACAGTAAGTACCGCTGTCTTTTCTCGACTCCGACCGCACCCCTAGCTCCAACCGAAAAACGGTCGCCATCCCTACGTGGCATATTTTTTTGACATTGCATCCCCAAGCCCCAACAGGTCAAAGAATCAATCATCATGCCCAAGAAAGGTGGAAAGGGAAAGAAGGGCAAGGGTAAAGCCGGTGGCGGCACAGCGAAGAAGGCCCCCGCCGTCCACGAGCCTGTGTAAGTTGCGCAAATATCCAGCTCCGCCTCAAGACCTAGCAGAACTGACCACTGCCACTTCCCAACAGAACCCCCGGACACCAAGTTGAGGATATCTTCAAGGGTGAAGGTGAAGGCGAAACCACCGAAAGCCTCGCCCCCGGCACTGCTACTAATGTCCCCTCCGCTGCCCCGCCTCAGGTCGCCGCGAGCACAGGAGCAGATGGCACGCCGACCACCGAGACCACTGAAAGTGGCGACCTTTCGAACGAGGAAGTAGAGGAGCCTTTGAGCCCCGGAACCGCCAAGAGGTTTTCATTGACGAAGCCATCGGATGATGCAGGAGGCCCTGGACTCCGCATGCCGACTTCCTTGCCGGATACACGTGAAGCTGCCGAATTCGAAGCAAACGAGCACACCCTGCAGGGTGCTGTCGGTAAGACCCAGGCGTCGAAGGCGGGTCTGGTCGGATCGCTGGACGCAGGGGATAGCGAGGGACAAGGTAGGTGTTCCTCGGTGTTGTAAACGAGGTAGCGAGGCTCACAGGATCTTCAGCCATATTGCCCGACACGGTCGCCAAAGAATCCAAGTTGACGGCTCCTACGACGGCTCCCGACACCACCGTTCCCGAAGCGACTGCTACCGAGGCCGCCGCTCCCGTACCCGTCATCACTGACGCCAACGCTCCAGTGTCGGAAGTTGGGGGTGCCGGAGACAATGCCACCGGTCTGGCCGAGAAGGAGGCGGCAGTGGAGAGAGCAGAGGTGAGCGGTGCGGCAGAAACAGCACTGCCGGAGAGACTCAAGGAGAAGGAAACTGCTGCGGCCGAACCGACAGCCACATCTCCGTCCGATGGCCATGCAAAGCGCCCCTACGAGAGCAGCCTCTTCCACAAGGACGAGGACCACAAGCCTCCCAAGATGGCCAAGGTCGAGGAAGACCTGGATACGGTTCCAGCGACCCAGCCTGTGTCCACAGAAACCCAAGCTGCGAACTTGCAAACTGTGCAACCCCTGGTTGTCCCCGGACTTGGTGCCGAATCCACAGACAAGCCACCCTCCGACGCTGAAATTGCTGGACTTGCTCCCTCTGGTCAGAAGGCCGAGCCAGCGACCACAGAACCCAGCGTTCTTGCGCCGGTGACCGAACCTACCGCTACCGCTCCGAGCACAACGGAGTCGCAGACTGCAGAAGCTGTTCCCCCGACCGCCGCTCCTTCGGCTGCTCAGGCTGCTGCTGCCACCACATCCCCTGTCGTTCCCGCCGCCGTTTCTGCCGCTGCCGCAGGAGGCGAAGCCGACACGGAGGCCAGGCAGAAGCAGGAGGTTAGAGACAGCATTCAAGCTTTCACCGGCGAGAGACAGATCCCCACGGCCAAGGGGCTCCAGCAAGAGCATGAGGAGAAGGCCAAGGAGAAGGCTCTGGAGACCGCGCCCCTCAAGACGACCCAGGAGACTCCCACAAAGGCCCAACCAAGCGTCGCTGCCGCTGCCGCCGCCGCCGCGATGAGAGGAAAGTCGGCTGCGTCGCCGGAAAAGGCGACACCTACTGCGACACCTACCACCGAAGCCGCCGCCAAGCCAGAGGCTGAGCCCAAGGGTGCTCAAGGCCCGACCGAAGCCACTCAGGATCAGATCCCCACCGAGACACAACGGGGAGAAGAGGCGGGTGCAGAGGAGACCCAGCAGCCTGAGACCGCCGGCGCCAAGAAGTCGCACGAGGAGGCACAAACGGCCGTCGACCAAGCTCAAGAGGCAGCCAAAGCCGAAGCCGCCAAGGCGGAGAAGCGCAAGAGCGGGTTCTGGTCGTGGGTCAAGCGCAAGGTCAAGGGCACTTGATCGCTTGCCTTGCCTCTCAACCCATTCTTATACCTATATACCAGTATACATGACGGGAAAGAAGACTGTTGAAGAAGAAAAGAAACAAAAAAAAGACAAAAAGGAAACCGAATCGAATATACGAAAATGGATGATGATTGATGCGTTGAGTCGGGCCAGTGCATCAGGCTGTGTATGATATGGATGGGACAAGATACCACGGACTGGGCTGAGTTGATTTGACTGATTGATTACTGCTGCTGGGTCTTTGCTTCGAAGTGTCACTTTGAGATATTCACCCTCGGCTGTTTTGAGATTGCTACAAGTTAATGTTAATGGAATGAGTTCTCACTGTCGTATTGTCCTGTCTCCATCATCTCCACCGCTACTGCACCGCTACTGCAAGATCGAAATGAAGGCAGTGGAACAATAATCATGAGAAGAGAATGCTGTCACTTGTCCTATGGAGTATCCACTAGCTCTGCTAATAATATCAATGCCACGGTCATCATTGCAATCGCGGTACCCCACTTGGTGGCTGGGAATCAACAGTGAACACGACACGATACTCCGTCCTACGTGGATCGACTCGCTCTCTTGATCATCCCTCCTTTTCAGGTAGACAACCAGTATGATTATTGCCTCACCTCCACTCACTAATTTAAAAGTAATACTACTGATACATCATAGTACCCCTGAGTCCAGGACCATGGCATTCTGGTTCCCTCTCCAGCCGGTTTTGTCCTCCATCGTGGCTGGGACTGAGACTGAGACCCAGCTGATCCACTTGTTCCTTGACTATCTCCCTGGCCAAGCTTCCCTAAGCTTTGGTTCCTGAATTGCTATTTTGGATGCCATCAGAACGAATATGCATTAGACTACTCCGTAGAGAGTGGTGTATCCAATGAGACATGCTCAGCTCCCCATCTCGTCTGGATCACGGGTTGACTGGCTCAGAATATCTTTCTCAATCAAATCACTAGGAGTCTCTAGTATCCAATGGATGATCCATGATCCACTGATGCTATGCTGTGGTGCCACTTTACACAGTAGTAGAAACCCCTCTTCTCCCCTGATCATAATAATGACGGAACCTCAACCCAACCACCGCCTTGTTTTATTTACTGTGAATGTGATGATTGATCTGATCTATCAAAAAAATAGATAACTATTAATCCTTTGCTTTTCCTTTTCCCTACACCTCCTGCATCTGACCTACTTTTACTTTCCTCTTGCATTCTTCACTTCATTGTACCTGCATCCGCATATCCAACATGGTCCACCTCGCCCAGGTCAAGCGCGACAGCGACAATGTCGAGCCCCTCATCAACCGCGTTGATTCGATCAAGCTCGAGACCACCGACGATGATGACTTCTACTCCAGTGTCTACGGAACTCGGTTTGCGGCCGAGCAGCTGCCCCAGACTGAGATGCCGGAGAGGGAGATGCCCCGTGAGGTCGCTTACCGCATGATCAAGGATGAGCTGAGTTTGGATGGCAATCCTATGCTCAAGTAGGGTCTTCTCGTTTCAGAAAGGAGCGACTGGCTGATTTCTGTGATAGTTTGGCTAGTTTTGTCACGACGTACATGGTATGCGGATTGCAGCCTGCTATGCCAGCAAAGCTAACTCGAGTAGGAAGATGAAGCCGAGAAACTCATGACCGACTCCTTCAGCAAGAACTTTATCGATTACGAAGAATACCCCCAGTCCGCGGAGATCCAGAACCGATGCGTCAACATGATCGCTCGGCTGTTCAACGCCCCCATCGACAGCGAGGACGAGCACCCCGTGGGCACCTCGACCATTGGCTCGTCCGAGGCCATCATGCTGGGCACGCTGGCCATGAAGCGACGGTGGCAGAACAAGCGCAAGGCCGAGGGCAAGGACCACACCCGGCCCAACATCGTCATGAATAGCGCCGTGCAGGTCTGCTGGGAGAAAGCCGCGCGGTACTTTGACGTGGAGGAGCGCTATGTCTACTGTACCGAGGAGCGCTACGTCATTGACCCCAAGCAGGCCGTGGATCTGGTCGACGAGAACACCATCGGGATCTGCGCCATCCTGGGAACCACGTACACCGGCGAGTACGAAGACGTCAAGGCGATCAACGATCTCCTGGTCGAGCGCGGCCTGGACATTCCCATCCACGTGGACGCCGCCAGCGGTGGCTTTGTCGTCCCATTCATCAACCCCAACCTCCAGTGGGACTTTCGCCTGGAGAAGGTAGTTTTCCTCCAAAGTGTCCCTTTAGATTGACGATGCTGACGGGCGAACAGGTCGTTTCCATCAACGTGTCAGGCCACAAGTACGGTCTTGTCTATCCCGGAGTCGGCTGGGTTGTCTGGCGCTCGCCCGAATACCTGCCCAAGGAGCTGATTTTCAACATCAACTACCTGGGCGCCGAGCAGGCCAGTTTCACCCTCAACTTCTCCAAGGGCGCCTCGCAGGTCATCGGCCAGTACTACCAGATGATCCGGCTGGGCAAGCGCGGATACCGCTCGATCATGGTCAACATCACCCGCATCGCCGACTACCTGGCGGAGCAGCTGGAGCAGCTGGGCTTCATCATCATGAGCCAGCGCCGCGGCCACGGGCTGCCGCTGGTGGCCTTCCGCCTGCGCCCGGACCGCGCCGAGCAGTTCGACGAGTTCGCCCTGGCGCACCAGCTGCGCGAGCGGGGGTGGATCATCCCCGCGTACACGATGGCGCCGCACAGCAACGAGCTGAAGCTGATGCGGGTGGTCGTGCGCGAGGACTTTAGCATGAACCGGTGCGATGCGCTGCTGGCGGATATCAAGCTGGCGCTGAGGACGCTGAGCGATATGGACAAGGCGATGCTGGAGAAGTATACTCAGTAAGTGACTGCCACTGACACTGACACTGACACTGACATCCCTCGGGATGGGATCAACGGGCTATTCGGAGTACTAATGAGTGATGTATAGGCATGTGCAAAACCACGCGGTGAACTCGCACAAGTCCAAGCACAACCATTCTCACTACAAGAACGAGAAGCATTCCTTGCAGGGCAAGACTGGAAAGACGCACGGGGTTTGCTAGATTGATTGATAACCGCGCAGGGAGCGGTGGATTTAGATGATACGATGAACATAACATACTCCTCGCTTTTCACGTAACTAACTTTTCTCTCCTTCATAAACTAGTTCTTAGTTTCATATCGACTCATGGGCTATCGTATCGGATAGTGACCCACTCTGAATGCAACCATGCTCCAGGATGCATACTAGCGCCTGCAGGACTAGATACTTAAGACACAAGTAATAACAACGAGTCATTCAGCCTGTTAGACCGGATGGAGATGGGGTTGTATGCACTAATCGCTAGACTCATAGATAATCTCCAGTTCCCCGTCTGCACAGCCCACTATTTTACAAGTTACAACCCCCCGGAAGCTTAGAAACCTCACCAACATGACCTCTCCATCCGAGTCCCTCATCGCCGTCCTCTGCGGCCTGCTAACGCTAAACATCTACACCCTCCTCCCCCTCGTCCTCTCCATACCCCCATTCCTCGACACCCGCGTCCTGGGACCGGGACCGCTGTATGTCCTCTCGCTGCAGGGACTCATCTCCCTAGGCGTCATCCGCCTGTTCTGTATCGCTACGAGCCACCCGTTCCGGCTACGAGGCAGGAAGTCTCTCGTTCTGATGGCGCTGTACGCGGTATTCCCAGTCCCGAGGCTCGCCATCTGGGTGCTTGATACAGTCGTGCCGAGGATCTGCGCACTGCGGGGTTTTTGCAAGGTACGCGGCGTGCCGTATATCGACTCCCCCCCACGCTCACTAAGGCAGAAGTGGAATTTGGAAAAGCTTACAGACAATCCATAAACCCAGAAATAGGTTCACGCCAGGACGCCTCGTCCGCCAACCACAGCGCGATCGCCTTCCATTGCTGCGCCGCGCGCTGGACCCAGACGCTCGATGTGTTTGCCAGCGCGCCGTGCAGGAGGAGGAGGATCTGGGATCCGTCGGCCCCGCCGGCCGCGGCGCTGGCCAGCAGCCCTAGTTTTGTGCGGATGTGGGTCTGCAGGAGCTCCATGTTCTGGTAGGGGTTTGTGGCGGAGAGGGCGGCGCCGAGGCCGGGCATCCAGTTGAAGATTAGGGAGTCGGCGATGCGGGGGAGGACTTCTGTGGGGGGGAGGTTGAGGCGGTGGAAGACGGTGTGCCAGGGGACGCTGGCGTGGGCGGTTAGGGATGTTTGGTGGTCGTGGACGCGGAGGAGGAAGTCTAGGGTTGGTTCGGTGGGGTGGTAGGCGAGGAGGTTGAGGACGCCGCTGAAGGTTGGCCCGGCGATGTCTGTGGCGGTGGGCGAGGGGAGGGAGGCGG